CCAAAGAGGGACTGAATGGAACCAGGGCAAGCGGTAAACTATGTGCTACCCTGGCATCGAGATGGGCCTGCCCAAAGCGCCATAATGCTTAACTCTAAGTTAAGAGCTTGGTCATGGACAAATGCTGTCATGATCAAAAAAGTAATAACTAGATTTGGACCCTGCTAAGGTTAGGAAAGATTAATCTGGCCTGAGCTCTGTAGTCTGAGTCTGTGGCAAGATGTTCCCAGGAGAGCTGCCCTACAAGTCTCAATGTTATCTCTGTGTCCATACAAAAAAGAAAAAAAGCTAGTATTGAGATGTTGATAGTTATTGGACTGAGTAAAGGAGAAAAACACCTTAGGAGGTATTTTGCCCTTGGGCAGTCAGGAAGGACTTTGGAATGCCTTTTAGGTGGTGTTCCCTTTGAACTTGATGGGGTCCTCAGGAAGGGCTTTCTTATGTTGATTTGGCTACCTGACTGGGGGCAGTGTCAGCCTGGAGAGACAAGGGAGTTGGGGAGAGAGGAGTGGGTGACAGGAGTGAAGGAAGAGAAGACTGGAATAAACAGGAAGGAAGACCAACCACCCAGGCTCTCCTTTCTTCCTTTGTCTGCCCTTGGCCAACAGCCATCAGGATCCAGGCCACACACAGTGGCTCCAGACCACCGAACATGGGCGATGAGACAGAGACGTCCAGAGAGCCCGCGAACACACAACCTTCAGCGTGCATAGTTTTTACAGATCACTATGACAATGATAGTGGAAAATGATCACTCTGGACAAGAACTGAATGCTGAAATGAGGTAAAGTGATATGCATGCTACCATTTCAGTAACAGTAAGAGTATCAGTAATTCAGTAATCAACAAACCACAGTGCATGTGGGGGAGGTAGATGGAAGGAGAGTGAGTGAGAGAGAGAGACAGAGAGAACCAAAATGTCTGCCATAGAAGGAGACTTGGGTGCATGGCAGCACGGTTAGTGGTAGGAAATGTAAACTGGTGAAGGGATGGGTGTTGGAACATTGTATGACTGAAACTTTATCACACAGTATCTCACAGTAATTAAAAATTATCTAGAATACTAAAAAAAAAAAAAAAGACTGGGCCCAGAGAATACGATCGTTTGGTCCAGCCAAACTGGGTGGACAGAATTGCCTTACATGTAGCAGACCCAGGTTTGATTCCTTAGCACCACATATGGTCTCCCAAGCACCGCCAGGGCTGATCCCTGAGCACTGAGCCTAAAGTAAGTCCAAAGTACTACTAGTATGACCCCAAACCAAAACCAAAATAAATGACTTGGCCAAAGAGATAGGAGGTAAGGTGCTTTATGCCTTGATGCAGCCAACCCAAGATTGAATCCACAGCACCACGTATGGTCTCCTGAGCACCTCCAGGCGTGATCCCCGAGCAAAGCCAGATATAGCCCCTTAGCACCAATAGGTGTGGCCCAAACTCAGAATGGAAAACAGAAAAGCCAATGACTTATATAATCAATTTAAATGCTTAAGGGTTCTTTTACTCTTAAGGTAAAGGTAAAGGCCCTCCCGTTGATCGTCGATTTGCTCGAGCGGGCCCAGTAACGTCTCCATTGGAGACTTTGTTGTTACTGTGTCTGGCATATCGAATACTCTCGGTAGCTTGCCGGGCTCTCCGAGAGGGGCGGAGGAATCGAACTCGGGTCGGCCATGTTGGCTGCGTGCAAGGCAAACGCCCTACCCGCTGTGCTATCGCTCCAGCCCCTTTTTTCTTAATGCATGGATAATTGGGCTGGAGTGATAACACAGTGCGTAAGGCGTTTGCCTTGCACTAGGCCAATCTGGCCAACCGGAGTTCAATTCCTCCATTCCTCTCGGAGAGCCTGGCAAGCTACTGAGAGTATCTCGCCCACATGGCGAAGCCTGGCAAGCTACCCATGACGTATTCGATATGCCAAACACAGTAACAACAAGTCTCACAATGGAGACATTACTGGGCCTGCAGGAGCAAATCGATGAACAACAGGAGAACAGTGCTACAGTGCTACATGGATAATTTAAACAATGCATTTATTATAGAAAGAAAAAAACTGAAAAGTTCTAATACATCAAATTAGAATTTAAAAACTGCAATTATCTTTTTTTATAACTTTGGTCTTTAATCCTAAATTAAGGTATCAAAGTATCAGAGGATTAGTTTTTGAAACCCTGGAAGTAAATTAAATAAAAAGTCCTTTTTTGGTTATTCTTTATCTATAATGTATCTGTCACTGTCACTGTCCTCACATTGTTTATCGATTTGCTTGAGCAGGCCCAGTAACATCTCTATTGTGAGACTTGTTGTTACTGTGTTTGGCATATTGAATATGTCACAGGTAGCTTGCCAGGCTTTGCCATGCGGGTGAGATACCCTCGATAGCTTGCTAGGCTCTCCAAGAGGGGTGGAGGAATTGGTCGGTTGGGTCAGCCGCATGCAAGGCAAACGCCCTATAGCTGTGCTATTGCTCCAGCCCATCTACAATGCAAATATTTAAATATTTTAATGGAATACCAGTATATTTCTATCTGAAAAAAATAAATTCACTCTTAGAAAAAAATCAATGCACAATTCTATTCTGACATTATTGGAGTACACGTAGTGACTACTTTTAAGGAAAGATACCTTTGTTTTTGATGGTATTGGGTAATCAAACCTGGAAGCATGTGCTCTACCTCTAATTTATATCCAGCACAGGGGAAAGGTTAATCACCCAGGGCATGGGAGGAGAAATCTCTGAACTTAAATATAAAATTAAAAAAATAAAATAAAAAGCATAAACAAAGAAAGCACAAATCAGATAAATTAAGATTAAAAATTAACCTATCAGGCAAAACATGGAAATTCTAAGATTAACATGAATTATAGAAATTGAAAATTGAGGGGCTGGAGCAATAGCAGAGCAGGTAGGGCATTTGCCTTGCATGCAGCCAACCTGGGTTTGATTCCCAGCATCCCATATGGTCCCCTGAATACCGTCAGGGGTGTTTCCTGAGTGCAGAGCCAGGAGTGACCTCTGTGCATCACCGGATGTGACCCAAAAAGCAAAAAACAAACAAACAAAAAACAACAAGAAATTGAAAATTGAAGAGAATAATTTTAAATGTAGCTACAACTCTCAGAACATTACACTGCTTATAAAGGCACATTTGTCCATTGGGTCATTTAAGGATCACTTAAAATCTTGAGTATATAGTCTCTTTGGCCATCTTAACTTTCACAATGTATTAAAAGGCTGATTTTCAAATTAAGCCTCCTGTGAGTTTATTGCAAAGAAAGCACTTCTTCAGTGAATAATAATTTATGAGATTTCAAGGGTAAATGTGCCTCGAATAGTGCTGCTACACTGTAGCACTGTCCTCCTGTTGCTCATTGATTTGCTCCAGCAGACCCAGTAATGTCTTCATTGTGAGACTTGTTGTTACTGTGTTTGGCATATCAAATACATCTCAGGGAGCTTGCCAGGCTTTGCCATGCGGACGAGATACTCTCGGGGTAGCTTGCTGGGCTTTCCAAGAGGGGCGGAGGAATTGAACCCTGGTTAGCTGAGTAGGTCACATGCAAGGCAAACGCCCTGCCGCTGTGCTATCACTCCAGCTACACAGTCTCTTCAATGCATACTTTCTTTCTCTTCAATACAAATGCTTTTCAATGCATATCTCTTCAAATACGTATGCTTTTCTTCTTCCTTCTCTGCAACCCTATAATAAAAATAAGACCACTGCCCCAAATAACTGCATAAGAAATTATTTGTTGCTTATATTAGTGTTGAGTCTTCCCCCTCCTCTTCCCCCCTGTCCTGAGTAGAGCCCCAGCAGCCAAAGACCTCCGGAACCCAACCACAGCCATGCTCAAGGTCACTCTCCACACGCCTGGAAGAGTCTCACACATGAAGGAACCGGCAGAGAAACCCACGTGCACAGGTGTGAGGGGCCCGGGGCTGAGATCTCTAAGCCTGCTCGGATCAGGACCTACATCCATATACCCCATTTTCCAGCAGCTAGCAGTTACACCCACAAACTGCCCTCGCGCCATGAAATAAATCCCATCAACAACCAAGATCCAGAGACTATAAAACAAAGCTCCTGGAAGCGTATGCGGCCGAGCGACCTCTTACAGTCTAATTTGCCTTCTTGGAGAACCCAGCAAGCTAACAAGAGAATCCTGCCCCCGCAGTAGAGCCTGGCAAGCTCCCGTGGCGTATTCACTATGCCAACAAACAGTAACAATGATATGTCTCATTTTCCCTATCCTGAAAGAGCTACCAATCTGGCACCATTGGGAAGGACATGTAAGGAGAGGCTGCTAAAATCTCAGGGCTAGGACGAATGCAGATGTTACTGGTGACCACTGGAGCAAATTAATGAATAATAGGATGACAGTGATACATTGATATTAGTGTATGTATATATGTGTATATATAAAATTTATTGTAAATATATTTAGCATACTGCCATAATTAATACTGAACATGTTTTATTTTATAATTTTGTGATAAAAAAATTTCTTTAATACCATGATACTCCTCCTGTTTTCCTAACCTTGGTAATAACAGCTAAAACTAGGGTTAGAATTTAACTTTAGAAGACATGAAAATTTGGTGTCCTCATTTACAAATATAGTCTATTACAGAGACTATTCAAAATAATTTCAATGTAATTCAAGAAACATGATCATATATACAGCCTAGTAATGGAGAGTTAACAAGTTTTAAATATATATAAATTTCTAGTCACAGGTATAAACTAAAATAATAATAATAAAATTGGCAAACTTGACCACCATCACAGACTTCTACATACCTTAAAAAATTGACATCACAAAAAATAATATTTTTTATATTAGGCAGACAACATACAGTTGTTAGGGTTGCTTTCATATCCTATAAACAAGTCTTATTTGGGCTGGAGTGGTAGCACAGATAAATTGCTTGCTGAGTGATCCCTGAGTACAGCAGGAGTGATCCTTGAGTCTGCCAAGAGTGATCCCTGGGTACGGCGGGAGTGATCCTTGAGTCTTCCAGGAGTGACCTCTGAGCATAGAGCCAGGTGAAAGCCCTGAGCACAGCTGGGTGGGAGCCAACCCCACTCCCCCTCAAATAGTCTTACCATTGCTCCAACTTTGGAATCTCAAAGTAAGACTGTATATATTCAACGTATTTGGTTTCTTTCATTTGCTCATGCTGAATCTCTTATATTTTATTAACTTGTCTTCTAGATTGTTCTTTTAGATTTTATTCAGTAGCACAGGGTCAGATCTCTTCTATACTGGATCTCATTCTTCTCATATCTTTTCTGCTTGCAGAGAGCCTATCAAAGTCTTGGAGGTGGAAATGAGTTGCCAACTGATTTACCATTTTTTTCAAGGTAAGAAACGCTGAAATCACTTGGAAAGTAAGGAAAATAGTGAAAATAATATGTACTGCTCTTTCCAAAGGCAGATTTGTTAGACCTTCATTAAAGAGCAAAAAAAGAATTAAAGGTAACTGCAACAGAAGACTCAGAAGCCAAAAGCCAGCCAGCTCAGGAACCTGCAATGACACACATTAAGAGTGATGAGATCAGTAGTCTTTTGTTCCTCTAGATAAGCAAGTACTTTTGTACTATTCCGAACCTACATTATGGGCATTATGGGATCTATGAGTAATCTGAAAATATAAACATGGTCCTAGCTCTCAAAGAATCCACAGTTATAATCAGAAAATCAAATAATGCAGCAATCCTAATATATACTTAGTAAATAATTAAAAGCAATACTTAGAGGTATAGCCTAAATAGTACAAGAAATAAAATGATTTCTTTTAAAAAAAAGAATTCAATTCTATTCAATAATAAAAAAGGAGATCATGCCATTTGCAAGTAAATGGGTAGGATCTTGAAGATACTATGCTTTGTGAAATAAATCAGATAGACATAAACTGTATGAGTTCATTTATATGTGGAATCATCAACACCAAACTCTTAGAAACAGAGACCACACTTATGGTGGGGAATGGGAGGTGAAGGAATTGGTGGTGATGGTCAAAAGATAAAACCTGCCAATCAGGGCCAGGGCTTAGTATAAGGCATGTGCTGGCTCCTATTTGATATCTGGCACCACAGAGCCGCCAGCAGTGCCAAATGTAGCCCTGGAAGTCCCTGAAGCACTGCCAGGTGGCCCTGGTAGTCCCATGGCACTGCAATGCCAAAGCGGCATCACATACTTCATTCAGTTGAGTGGCTCACTTGGCTGAGAATTATTGGCATGGGATCCAAGACCCCATGAGCACCACTTGGGAGGCCCCCAAAACAAAACAAAGTGCCAGTGAGATGATAAATTATGGGAATGGAACTCACAGCATGACTGCTATTGCTAACACTACTGTTTGGTATATTAAAAAACTGCTAAGAGTAGATAATAACAAGAGAAAAGTCTTTGTATCTGTGTGAGTGATGGATCTTAACTAAACTTACTAGAATACCATCTGAAATATACACATATATTCGTATATCAATTCATCTTTCTGTAGAGCTTAAATAAATTATGGCTTAATAAAACTAAAAACCACTACTCCACCTCCAAAAATAAAAATTAAATAGTATTCAAACATATAGGCTTTAAGATCGGGAAGGCAGAAGAATACAAAGGTAAGTAAGAAAGATGGGGATGAGCATAACTGGGGCCAGCCTAAGGTGCTGGGGTCCAGAAAATCTAGAGGAACAGTTAAATCTGCCTAAATTATGAATCCAATATTTGGGCACTGGGCTAGAGTGATAGCACAGCGGTAGGGCGTTTGCCTTGCACGCAGCCAACATGGCCGACCTGAGTTCGATTCTTCCTCCCCTCTCGAAGAGCCTGGCAAGCTAACGAGAGTATCTCGCCCGCACAGCAGAGCCTAGCAAGCTACCCGTGATGTATTCGATATGCCAAACACAGTAACAACAAAAGTCTCCAATGGAGATGTTACTGGGCCCGCTCGAGAAAATGGGTGAACAACGGGAGGACAGTGATTTGGGCATTGCCCTATGTTCTGTTAACTATAAATATTTCGGCAGTGAGATGACTCAGAAAACATGTGTCTGATATAGAAAATGAGTTTATAATTTCTCCCCGTTTTCTTATTTAAGATCCAAATAAGCATGTTTAATTGACCAAATATTTTCAAGACTATTAGAAAGAGGGGAAATGATCATTTCTTAAGTGTTTATTATGTTCAGGCATTTTACATAATTTATTTCACTTAATTCCAACAAATTGATAAAATGTCTGTTTTCCCTATTTTATATGTGATCAAAGTCAAGACTTAAAAAATTAAATTAGGGGCCAGAGAGCTAGCTCAAAAGGCTAGAGTTTATGCTTTAAATGGGTGAGGTCCCAGGTTTGATCCTGGGCATCACATGGCCTTCCCTCTTTCCCCCAGCAGTGCCAGGTATAGTCTTGGTGGTCGCCAAGCCCCCAAGCATAGGTAAAGGTAAAGGCCCTCCCGTTGATCGTCGATTTGCTCGAGCGGGCCCAGTAACGTCTCCATTGGAGACTTTGTTGTTACTGTGTCTGGCATATCGAATACTCTCGGTAGCTTGCCGGGCTCTCCGAGAGGGGCGGAGGAATCGAACTCGGGTCGGCCATGTTGGCCGCTTGTAAGGCGAACGCCCTACCCGCTGTGCTATCGCTCCAAGCCCCCAAGCATATATTTTAAAATTGGATCCAAACCTAAATGTAGTCCTTTACTTCCACTACAGCTCACTGCCTTTTCCTTGCTTTGATAACCTAATTGCATTTATGTGTTGCACCAAGAAAGGAAGAAAAAGAACCTACCTTCTCCTGCAGGTTACCCATATAGCCCAGATATAACCGGATAGCTTCAATTAAAGTTATTAGGATGATAACTGTGACCACAATGAATTTGTAGTAATCAGGCAAGATTGAATACTAAAAAAAATAAAAAAGTAAAGGAAAAAAAAAGTCTGTCAAATGTAGTAAAACTGACCATAAAAAAATCAAAGTCTATAATTTTATTAATTTTTAACTATTATTGAAGCAACATGGTTAAAAATATTTTTCATGCTAATGTTTCTGGTGAACAATGTACCTCCACTGCTACCAAAAGTGTCAATTTTATTGACAATGTAACAAAGCCAGGGTGGACAGAGAGATTTTAGTAGAAGTAAGAAAGCATAAACTGACCTTCATGTGCAGCATTGCAACACTGCTCATCCACCAAAATGGGAAAAAGTAACTGTTAAAATAAAGTGACATCTGCAGTGTCAAACTGGAGACCATTTCATTATCTACAAAAGACAGAGAAAAGGATCAAGATCTTAATCCCAGTCTATGTCCTGGAAGTTCTCTAATTCCTTAGAATTAACAACTTTTGTTGAGTACTGACTCAGCAAAACTTCAAAAATTCTGGGCTCAGGACTGTGGTTCAGCATTACAGAACCCCTCTTGCATGCCTAAACCTTTGAGTTTGATTCCCAGCACCACCACCACCAATAAAATCTTTCACATTTCAGTGGTTTATGATTATTGACAGTAGAAGAAAATATAATAGCATTTACTTCCTATATTGACTACCTGGGAGTATGTTTCATATTTTCAGTGACTGCATCAGCTTACCATTAGTTTGATGTTTTGTTGTTGTTGTTGTTATTGTGGGGATACATCTGGCAGGTTGGGGTGGGGGTGCAGGGAATGGAGTGCAAGGGATCCAGCCACAGGCCTTGCAATGGAATGTAGGTGCTTCCACATGAGTCCCACCCCCAGCTCCACAGCCTAATGGCTTTGGCAGACTACTAGCATAGATTAGATGTGGAATATCAAAATGAATCCTATTTGACAGGTAGTAAGAACCATTGCCTCTTTTATAGAGCTCTATGTACAGGATTTACAAAATAAACACAGATGACCGGGTGTGGCTCCCACAACAATTAAGAAACAAACAAAAATAACCAGTGCGTCCCAGTGTGTACTAGAAATAAAAATGCTTTTTAAAAGTGAAAAATAATAAAATGAACATAAAACACATAAAATCTGATACAGACTAATCTCAGTCAAAAAAATGTAGACAAATTAGACACACACTTCTGTCCAGTATATCCTAATCCACCCATGCTTTACTGCTCAATTCATTGCCACTTTCCCCACAAATTCCAGATTGGCCCACAGCAAATATTCTCCCCTCTAACTATGTTTGTGTGAGCAAAGAGACACCCTCTCCGGTCTTGAGAGTCTGATGTTCTCGAAGGATCATGGGCTTTGGAACCCAGATAAACCTGGCACTCCCCTGGAGTCTCAGGATTTGTGTTGCTGGACTTCAAATAAATTTTTTAACCTCTCTAAAGACTCAATTTCTTCATCTGTAAATAGTAACATTAAAATCTCATCAGTTACTGAATAGACTCTTCATTATTTAACCCTTCTCCTAATCTTTTATCTATCACCTCTTATTACAGATCATCTTCCCCCAGTAGAACCTAGTATTTAGACATACTCAGAAACAATAAATGAACAAAAACACGCTGCCAGAAGACTTTTCAGAGCAACTATTTGTGATACATAGGATTCATTTGTCGGTGGCTGACTGTATAGTACTCTTTGCTTTTCTGTAAAGGAGAAAAGTCCTCAATTAAGAATTCACTTCTTAAATCTGAGCCCTCAGATGCATTCTAAATTTGACTAAATTTCAATGATTTTAAGAATAGATACATATTCTGAAGTCAGTTGCTCTAAATAAGTTCATGAAGGCTAAAATAAAATTCTCAAAAGTTTTTTATTTCTGCATAGCTGACTATTTTACAACAATCATTTATTTTTAAAATATATGGTCTGTCACAGCAAGGTTTTTTCATTAGTTCCTAAGATTTGTCTGATTCTTATAATGTATTGGAGGGGGGCCACCCCTAGTGGTACTCAGGAGTGATTCCTGACATTGTTGGGGACTGAACCATTGTCACAAACACAGCTTCATGCCATGCAGTGCCTTAACTTTTCTGTACTATCTCTCCTGCCCTCTGATCTATTTTTGCTTGCCCCTATTAAATAGAATGAATTTTTTTTTCTTTTCCGGTCACACCCGGCGATGCTCAGGGGCTACTCCTGGCTTTGCACTCAGGAATCACTCCTGGCAGTGCTCAGAGGACCACATGGGATGCTGGGAATCGAACCCGGGTCAGTCGCGTGCAAGGCAAACGCCCTACCCGCTGTGCTATCACTCCAGCCCCAGAATGAATTTTTTAAAGTCAGTTATATCTCAAGTCATATTCACTAGCTATGTTTTCTTAACAAGAGTACTACTCGAAGTCAGCTACAGATAGTTCAAATAACCCTTCAGTTTCACTGAAAACAAAATGTGAGAAAATATTGATTAATCTGTTGAGCTGAAATTTTTAGCAGCTTTGGAGCAAAAACTGTGGCCAATTTTTTGTAAAGAACAGTGTGTTAGAATGTTGCATAAACATCTTGAGTTCTTTAAGCAGATCAAACTATTACAGTTGAAAGTTAGTATGTAAACTAATCCTAGAAACTCAAATCTAGTAAATTTTGTAGAAGAGCTGAATTCTTTAAATAGAATTTAAAACACTGTATATCAAGGATAGGCATGCTACCTGCTCCCTGCTTTTCATGTTTATAAATAATTGTGCAAAATTTTTAAAGCAATAATAATGCACTGATAATCATATGAAACCCAAATTTAGTGTTCATAAAGTTTTATTGAAACAATGCCATAACTATTCAATTACCACCGTCAATGGCTACCACAAAGAACTATGACCTGAGTTTAAAACATTGTCACATTAGGGGACTGGAGTGATAGTACAGTGGGTAGCATGGTTGCCTTGCACCCTGATGACCCTGGTTCGATTCCCAGCATCCCATATGGTCTCCCGAGCATCACTAGGGGTAATTCCTGAGTGCATGAGCCAGGAATAACCCCTGAGCATCTCCAGGTGTGACTCAGAAAAAAAAATTGTCACTTTAGTCCTTTACAAAAAAAGTCCCTGACATATCGCATCATCAGATTTTAAAGGTAAAACCCTAATTTTTCAATTATGTATTTTCTTTGTTTAAATTCTAAATCAAGAAAAGGCCTAAGTTTAAGGGACGAGCAAGTGATGGAGGGTCAATTAAACTATGAGTCAACTAGGAGTCAGAGAGCCAGTCAATTCAACTATGAGCATTGAACCTCTTCTCTCTGCTCCCTTTAAGAGTGTCTTGAGAAAGGAAGAGGGGGCAGAGAAATGTCGATTTTTCCGCAGAGTTCCAAAGATTTTTACAAAGTGCATGGGTCTGGTTGACAGTATGCTGTTTTTTTCATCATAGTTTATAGGATAACTTCTGGAGGAAACTGGGTTATCACCTGTCATTTGCGTGTAGCATCCTGGTGTTCTGTGGCAGGGAATGGTACTAAGGCCAGGAGGGAAAGAAAGCAGAGGGTAGGGAGCGGATTTTGAAGGCAGGGCTAAGGTGTGTGCTGCTACCCGACAGGACAGAAATCTCAAGCGACTCGAAACATTCTCGGGCCACCTCTGTGTCAGAAATAAGATGTGTGCAACGTCCTTGTTCTGCTGGAAAATGAGAAAAGACAAAAAACCGAAACCCAAACCAAAAAGCTTGACTGGGGTTGGAGGTGCGGGGTGGGACAGGGCATCCTCGGAGAGTTTTCCCCCTCCCTGCAGAAAAAGACCGAGCGGGCACCGCGGGGGCCCAGCACCGGCGGCCTTCGAGGAGGGTGCGGGCGCGGAGTTACGAAGGTGGCTTTTACAGTTCAGTTTTCGCCCAAGGCCGGCGCCTTCTTGGCGTGCTTGGCTGGTCTGGCGCTCGGCAGGCCGCCGGTACCACCGGGCCCGGCGGAACCCTAGCCACAGTCCGCGGCCCGGCCCCTCCTCCAGGTCGCTTCCCGCTCCGCGAGCAACGAGCTGAAGGCGAAACCGCCATTTTGGATCCGGGCAAAATTTCAACACCCCCATCTGTCCACTAATTTGGATCTCGGTCACTCACCGGGACCCTCCTCGCCATACTCCGGCCCGGTCCGGCTGGAGTCTCGGAACACAGTCCGGCTGAAGTTTCCTAGCCGTTGGCGGACCGGGTCTGGCAGCTCCATCTCTGGGCCTCAGCACTGCACGCTTCGCGGCCTGTGGGCACCGCGGCGCGCTGCGTTCCCATGGCAACCGGCGGCGCGCCGCGGGAGCGCGCGCGTGCGTAGCTGCACTGCGGGGACGGCCCTTGTGCCAGGAAAGGAGAGCCTGGTCTAGAACCCCATCCTGCAGGGCCGCTAGGCCGGATGCAAAGCCCCGATTCCTCAGGAGTGTTCTGACCCCACCATTTAAAAAACAAATAGCGATAGTAAGTGACCTAGGGTTGAATTAATGTACTAGGAGCCCTCACGTATTTCGGTGGGTCTGTATGTGATGCCATCTTTTGGGAAGGCAATGCAGAGCTAAGGAATGTTTATATGACACTGTAGCTATTCTTTTAGATATAGACATATGATATTAATTTCATAATTAGAACAACAATGAGGAACAGATATTAGAGCACATACAGTTGATGGAATATATTGCAATATGCTAAAGACCATTCTTTCAACTAATATTTACAAGATAATATGGACTATTTTATTCTTGTTCTTTTGGTTTAATACTCTTCTCCGGGCTGGAGCGATAGCACAGCGGGTAGGGCATTTGCCTTGCATTCGGCTGACCTGGGTTCAATTCCCCTGCCCCTCTCAGAGAGCCAGGCCAACTACCCAGAGTATCTTGCCTGCACTGCAAAGCCTGGCACGCTATCCCTGATGTATTCCATATGCCAAAAACAGTAACAAAAGTCTCACAATTTGTTGTGAGACATTACTGGATGGATGAACAATGGGAGGACAGTGCTACAGTGGTACTCTTCTCCATCTGTACATCACAGATTTTGCTGCTTAGGGTATCTCTGTAGAGGCTATAGAGAATGCATAGGCTATGGTTTTCTCCCCTTCTTTTTTAAAATGTATTTATATGTGTGAGTGCAATATATATCAGTATATGTTTATGCACACATCACGGTCACGGTTCTCCCATTTTCATCGATTTGCTCGAGTGGACCCAGTAACGTATCCATCGTGAGACTTGTTGTTACTGTGTTTGGCATATTGAATACGTCACGGGTAACTTGCCAGGCTCTGCCATGGGGGCGAGATACTCTCGGTAGCTTGCCGGGCTCTCCCAAGAGGGGCAAAAGAATCGAAGCCGGGTTGGCCATATTGGCTGCAAGGCAAACGTTCTACCGCTGTGCTATTGCTCCAGCCCCATGCACACATCAATTTAAAGTCAAAGTAAAGGCCAGATGTAAGACTAAATATAAATGAATCTAATCTACAAAAAGGTGTGTGTTGTATTGTGTGTGTGTGTGTGTGGGGAGAGAAAGAGAGAGAGAGAGAGAGAGAGAGAGAGAGAGAGAGAGAGAGAGAGAATACATGGGGACATCGGGGTAGTAAAGGGAGAGAAGATAGCACAATTGTGACTTAAAAAAGAGACTACAGGAACAGAGCCAAGCAAAGTAAGTCCTGAGCAGTGCCAGATGTGGCTCAAAATTCAAAACAAAACAAAAAACAAAACTAAGGAAATAATGAAAATTTTCATAGTAGTTATTTCTGGAAGTGGGTTGAGTTTTTAATGTATATTCTAGACTACTTATATGTATGAAATATTTATTTATACAGATACATATACTTTTTAAAAAAGCTACTCAAGTATGGTATACATGCACAAAAGGGCACAAACAATATTTATGTGTAACCAACACCCAGATCAAGAACTGGAAACATACCAGAATCCCCAGAAGCTTTTCCTTTGTATTCTTTATAGACACTAGCCTCTCACTATTGCTTTTCCAGACTTCTAATAATATAGGGTAGTTTCTATTTTTATGCTTTGTATCGAAGCACTCATAGTACTGTAAAAATCCAGTTCTTGGGAGGGATGGCACAGCAGATAAGACACTTGCCTTTATTTTTGTTTTTGTTTTTTAATTTTTTTAATTTATTTATTGAATCGCTGTGGGAAAAGTTACAAAGCTTTCAGGTTTAGGTCTTGGTCATGCAAATATCAATCACATTTCCCTTTACCAATACTTATTTTTCACCACGAAGAACCCCAATAACCCCCCCCCCCCAATGTCTGTGGGGCAGATGAATTCTAGTTAACACTCTGTCTACTTTGACTAGCTTCATTGTTTCGATAAAAGTTGCACCATTATTATTTAGACTTTACCACCCCCCCCCCCAGATCAGCCATGCTGAAAGAGCATTGTGAAATGATTTGCTTTCTACAGCTGGGTTCAAGAATTAAATGATTTTGGATTTCTGCTATTTTATTTATTCACTTAAATCACTCAACTTCCCATTAGTCGTCGATTTGCTCGAGCGGGCGCCAGTAACATCTCCATTTGTCCCTGTGGCGTGCTAGTGTAGCCCAATGGCATCTGTTCGCTCCGGGAACATGAAGGGCCTCAAACCGATCGTTCATGATCTTCACGAAGAAGTCTGACCATCTGGTAGGTGGGCGGCCATGTGGTCTTTTGACATCCCGTGGAATCCAGTCGGTAACAGCTCTAGTCCAGCGGTCGTCTTTAAATCTCATTACGTGACCAGCCCATCTGATTTTCGACACCTTGGCAAATGAGACAGCGTCCCTGATTCTTGATCGTCGACGGATGTCAGAACTCCGGATTCTTTCTCTCATTTGAGTGAAACGTGATATTCCAAGCATAGCTCTTTATTCTTCTTTGGGAGACCTGAATAGCGTTCTCATCTTGTTTGCGTAGGGCCCAGGTCTCTGAGGCATATGTTAATGCAGGAAGAACAGTGGAATCAAAGAGATGTGCCTGGAGCCGGAGGTTCTTCATCCTCTTAGCTATTTCTTCGATGTTCTTGAAGGCGTTCCAAGCCGCTCTCTTCCTCCTGCGCAGCTGGGGTGCCAGGTCATTTGTCATGTTGACTTCTCGACCTAGGTACACATAGCTGTTGCATTCAGAGATGGTCGTTCCATTGAGAGTGAATGGGGCGTCAGGAACGAGGCTGTTTCTCATAAACATTGTCTTCGTAAGATTCAGGTGTAGTCCTACCTTTCCACACTCACGGTCAAAGTCAGCCAGCATTTATTTATTAACCCTGGAAGTATTTCTACTGAGAGTCAGATAATTAAGAGATTGGTTTCTGTGCTCTGGAGTCATGGCCGTGCCAGAGAGCCGCTCGTGGGGGGCAGCTGGTGACCTTGGTAGGGCGTGAAGGATGGGCCGGAACGCCCCCCCCCCCCCCCCCCCCGTCCCATGAGGTATCCGTCGTGCCCCCACCCCCGGCTCAGACCTGCTCTCCACAAGGCTCCCATGCAGCCACCATCTTTCTTTCCCGACACTTGCCTTTAACACAGCCCACGTTCAGCTCCTGACACCCTGTATCATCCCCTCTGCACCAGCAGGAGTGACCCCTGAGCACAGAGCTAGGAACAAACCATAAACACTGTCAGGTGTGAGCTCCTCCCTCAGTCTTGTTCTTTGCCCGTAAAGTTATTATATCTTTTTTTTTTTTAGATTGTTGAGAGGTTTTGTGGTTGTTGAGTCTGTTTTCCTTCTGTGTATGACCGTAGCACGATAAATTTATCCATCTGCTATTTACTAACGAGTATCTGCATAGTCTCTATTTTGGAGCTTTTTTGAATATTGTCAATTTGGGGGAAAGAAGACTTCTTGGACATCTTCACTCATTTGCATGGATTATATTTCTAGGAGTGGAATTGCTGGTTTATACAATTTCATTCAAGGACTGAAGGGTCTAGGGGTTAAGATGCTTTTCTTGCATGCGGCTGACCCCACTTCAATCCCCAGCAGTGAATATGGTCCCCTGGCCATAGAGCCAGGAATAAGCTCCGAGTATAGCCAGGTATGACACCAAAACAAAACAAATAGAAAAAATGGCCTGCAGCTTTAATGGATTCAGCTAGAAGTTTTCCAAAGTACCAATTTCTACTGCTTTAAGCAATGAATGGGCATTCCCATTGCTCCAGAACTATAAGCAACACTTAATTTTTCCATCATTTCCTTTTAGCTATCCTTGTGAGTAACAGTACTACTTTTATAAATCAGAAAAAAAACCATTCATATTTATATAAATGTAAAGAGGCAGGTTTTAGTGGAAGTACATTTGTGGCTAGAATTTAAACTAGGTCAACAAATACAGCACATATGTATATATTCTATTTCTTCTGGGCTGGAGCGATAGCACAGAGGGTAGGGCGTTTGCCTTGCACACGGCCAACCCAGGTTCAGTTCCTCTGTCCCTCTAGGAGAGCCCGGCAAGCTACTGAAAGTATTCCACCCGTTTGTCAAAGCCTGGCAAGCTCCCGTGGCATATTCAATATGCCAAAAACAGTAACAACAAGTCTCACAATGGAGACGTTACTGGTGCCCACTCGAGCAAATCGATGAACAATGGGAGGACAGTGCTACTTCTTTGTGGGGCATTGTACTAGACTAATTTGCAATTTAGCCCCTTCCTATAAGGAAGGTTAGCCTAATGAGAGATGAGAGGTGTGGAAACAAATAAGAAATTAAGTACAACAGAACACAAGCGAGAGGGGCCAGAGAGATAGTATAGCAGACTGGGCACTTACCTTGTATGCAGCTGACTGGAGTTCTTTCTCCAAGATCACATAGTCTCCTGAGCACCACCAGGAGTGATCCCTGAGAACAGAGGTAGGAGTAAGCCCTGAGCACTGGTGGGTGTGACCCCCCCCCACCCAAAGACAATAGATGAGGAAGCAATTTATTCAGGTATCAGGAAAAGGTGGTTAATTTCTGCTTTTATTCAAAGTTAGGGGGTTAGTGGATTGGCTCATGAGAGCGTATGCCTAGCTGGTGCAAGGTCCTGAATTTGATCCCTGCTACAATTTGCCAGGTGAGTTCCAGCAGCCTCCTGAGTGATGCAGATGTGGCTCTGGTGGCCCCCGGCACCACTGGGCCACAGGAAAGTCCCCAGCACCCCTGAATACTGTCTGGTGTGGCTCCTATAAAAAATTAGAATTGAAAGTAAAATTTTAAAAAATGAAACATAAGCCTCAAATATCTAAGAAGTCTTTCAGGACTCCCTGAAGCTGACTCAC